TAGAGGCTTGCTGGCCTCTCATATAAGGTTTTTGGCTGAAAACTTATCTTTATTCTCTAATAATCAAAAGACATTTTGAACTCTGTTGGAGGAAAAGCTGGATATGTACTCTCTCAGCATTCCCTTGACAACTTATATTAGATGTGCTAAAAACATACATTACATAATGAAATTAAAGTCAAATAGCTTTATATTTGTAATCAAGTGTGTTATAGACAATACCATGGTGTCCAACCAGTTCTGAAGTAGCAGCTACTGCTAGGGCAAACTAGCCACACTCAGCTGGCCAGCGTGTTGACACCACAGTTCTAAGGGATCCAGTAAACTAAATTTTATTTGTCACCTACTCTAGAAAAGCAAAAAGTCTCAAGTTTCTGAAGTCTCCTGAACATCTATTTTAAAAGGTATCATGTTAAAGTAATTCCCTTGCTTACATCTAAACTATAGATTTTGGATTTTACAAAGAAAGTGGGGGAAGCAAGGAAGAAACAAGAGAAACACAGGTTTCTAATTGAAAATTAGTTGCAACCTTAACTATAGAATATAATTGAAATAAGGAAAAAGCTTGGAGATAAATGAGAAAGCAGGTTAGCCAAGTTTAAATGGTTTAACTTGCTATGGTGATTATCAAGTTTAAAAAGTCTTATCCGGACAGCTTATCCTTTCACTAGTCTTCCTCAGTTAGATGTGTTCTACAAACCAATCACCAGGAAAGTTCAACTGAACACTAGCAATGTAAAAGCCACCATGAATGCCAGTCAGGAGTTTCAGAGCTATTGGGCTTACAAGTCTGTACTGCCTTATCTCATGCTAACAGAATACTGCTGGCTGAGGCAGTCCAACGACATCAAGCTGTTTCTTTCTTTCAGAGGCTTTATTTTCTGCAACCTGTAAATACTAGAAACTCAACCTTTTTATCTACTACAATTATCTTTATCAGTTAATACTTCTTTTAACAGCATTATGCTGAAATCTCAAATCATCCACTATGCCTGCTGAGCTCTGGAGTGACATTTACATCTTCTAAAATATGTCAGTATAGCAATTTGTGAAAATAAAGACTTAATATACTTATTACAGATAGAACTTCTTTAACACAAGGACTTCTCAGAACCAGTTACACAAAGTCTTATTTTACCAAATTCCTTTAATCTAAATCTTCCTTTTATCAGAATCTGCTGTGACCCTCCATGAGTCAGTTACTCAGTAAGTCTTCCATTAATCAAATGCTTTTCATGTCTTCAAACTATTTTCAGGCAAATGAAGTGACTATGTAATAACTTTTGTCAATGCCTAGTTCTAACTGCTATTTTATAAGATGACCCAAAAAGCTTTTAAGCCATCCAAGAACCAGATTTAGGGGTGATTTTCTTCCATGATAGTTGAAGATCCATCACACAAAATAAAGACACGTGTATTCTATCCTATTGCAGATACTCCTAACTGTCGCAGAGAAATTTTGCAAGGCCTGAATTAATTTCCTAACAAGTAAGCAAAATACATATGACACTCAACTTTGTTCCAGAAGAATCATTGACCGTTTAGGGCAAATGTGGACCCATATGGTTATAAATTAATATGGCAATAAGGAAGGGGAGTAGAACATGAATATAATGTTCCACAAACAAAGCCTTTTGAAAATACGTTGATTGGTAGGTAAAATGATGGCTGTTGGTATTCTAAATGTGTAAATATTACTACCTTAGACCTGCTCATCTTTACTCTAAATCAATGATTTCGGGGGAGGAGAGGGGGAAAGGAATAAGCACCTTTTTATATTCTTGTTCTTAAATGGGTAAAAGACCATTTTGTTTTAAAGTTGTAATTGAAGTCTACACACTCAGTTAACCTGAAATCTTAAAACATTATTTGTTCATGTCAACTTCAGAAAAATGCTGTGAGGTCAAATCTTGTCCACAATTTAGGTTTTATAAAACTTGAAAACTTTCGTTAAAACAAACCAAGTTAATATTTTTATTTTTAATCAAATGGAAACATTCTTTAAATGTTACATTTTTGTCAACTAGGCCACAGACTGTAGAACTCTCTCTCTAAGTAGGAAAGTCTGTGAACATTTCTCTCTGCTGGTAGAGCAAATGGTTAAGTGACATGATAAAAAAAAAAGACTTGGTCCACCAACAGTGCAAGCTGTGAGTTCAGATAAGTGTCTACACATTTTCCTGCAAATAAAGCTCTTGATATCCTCAAAGTAGACTAGAAACTAAAATGAAACTGACTAATCTAACAAAGACTAAGAAGCAATGAGCATAACTGGCACAACAATTTATTTTAATTACAGTGACGTGTAACTTCAGGAAATGTTTTAACCTGGCCCCTTAAAATTCCATAATGTCATTCTCACAAAAAACAATTACTTTTCCCTTGCACCTCTTACAACTAAATAGGATTTAGCCACAAATATTTGGGGAAAATGTGTGGCTTACTGACAACCTTTCACTTCAGGAAAAAATAGACATATGCACCTAGTTTTGACAAAGTTATAATCACCCTACACAACCCATTAAATAATGTATGTGACCTGTTCTGTAAAACCTCTTGGCTTGTTTTTCTTTAAGACTGACAGCTATTTCAAATATTTGGAGGCAACAATTTAGTTTTAACCATCTGTACTGTGTCAATCAAGGTGAGTGAGCAGGTAAGATTAATTTAAAACCTTAATTTAAAAACTATTTATCAAGAGGCTATAGTCAAAAGTGATCAAAAAGATGGTTTAGTAATTATCACTGTAGTGAGCGTGGCATTACAACAGTATAAGGACAGCAATTGTTCACGGAGATTGTTTCAAATCTGTCACTTCCAGAGAATAATTTAAAGAGTGTTTTTACTAGAAGGCTAATTAAACTTCTGGAATAAGGATGTGAATAGTTAACCAATTAACCAGTTCTGGTTAGCCAGTGGGGGCTGAAGCAGCTCCCCACCTACTGGGAGAAAGGGGCTGCTCCAGCCCTATGGGGCCCACTGCAGGCAGAGGGCGCTCCAGTCTAGCCAGAGCAGCCCCAATCTGCAGTAGGTGGCCACTCCAGCTTGCCTGGGATGGAGTGCCCCCCTTTTAACCAGTTAATCATTAATTGGTTAACCAGTTAAATGTAAATGGGATATTACATCCCTATTGTTGAAGTATTTATAACTAGATTTTAATCACCTTGAACAGTCTGCGCAAGCAAAAAAAAATCAGTCTTTGAATCGACTAATCTTGCATGTTTTTATCTGAAAGGAATACTTTCTTCATCAAAACAAGACTGGGAGGACAAGCTATAAATATAAAGTGCCCTCAATACATTTGCAGCTGGAACCATCTCCATCATTTTCACATCCAATAGAGGTTTTGCTGTTTTCTTCAGACAGCTTTTCTTACTTTGTTATTTTAATACATTCCTCAATATCTCTTAGGAGTTATGTTTTCTGTTTTGCCAAAGGCAAAAAGCACAAACAAATCTCCCATGCTTATTTTGCAGAGGTGTAAATCCCAAGAAAGCATATTCCAAATTCCAAGATGCTGTAAACAACAACCTGTTAGGCCAAGAATGGCCTTTTTCCTTTTATAAAGCAGAATTATTGTGGAACTAGTCTTTGTGGAACTATTCTTTAGTCACTTTGAAGCACATTAGTTATCAGGTATCATTTACAGGAGCAAAAATGACTCAATGACATCAGTTCAAATTCTTCTTTCAAGGAAAGATCTCACAAAATATGAAAACCTGAAAGTTTTACTATTAGCTGAAAACAAACACTGTACAAAGATATAAACTTTCAGTGTCTTCCTCCATACAACCACACACTCTACCAACTGGCTCACCTATTATCAGCAGACAGAGGCTACAAGAGGCACTGGCATAACTATTAAGATTCATTAAGACCCATAAGTGACAATGAGAAACAGAACCCACCATCTAAAAATGTTTTCTTCTTTTCTGTGCGAAAAGAATACTAAGAATATGTGCTCAAGAATCTGCTTCAAGCCTTTCTTAATCTATTGACTTTTTAAAAAAATAAGGCAGGAAAGAGAAATATTTCCTCCTCTTGCCCAAATCCATGTGCACCCACTAGATACCCTATTTATAAAGCATCAGGTGACAAAGTATTCAGATAGTACAAGGAGTGGTGTGGTAAGAACCTAAATAAAACGAGAGGTAGATAAGCATGGCCCTACCAAAAATGAGGCTTTAACAGGTCTTAGAGTTAGATGTGTTGTATTCTGTTTAACTTCCTTTTAATTTCAGAAACTTTTAGAAAACATTACTTCAAAAGTAATTTAGGTTTATGGTCTGACTATTGCTCTTTGCCACTTTGACCCCAAACAGTTTGTTGGGATAAGCCAGATTTGCTTATCTTATCCCAGAATGTCATATTTAGAATTATAGTACCCATCTCTTTCCAGCCCAGCCAACACCTTATTCCAATCCCCTTTTAGTTGGCGAACTCAACTACACCCTCAATGGTAAATTTTTGCTTCCAAAAGAATCATACGGCCAATTCTCGATAACACTTCAGTAAATTTCGTAGATTTGTACTGAATGAAGCCCTGCTGCTCGGACTCAGTTAAAGCTGTCTGTCCCTAACTAGAACACCTCTCTCAAATTACAATACAAACAATACCCATGATCCACAATTGTAACAAGAGCCAACTGGAGTATTTATTTAATTGAAGCCCCACCATAATTTTCTTGCCAGTCTGCTGACAATGGCATACACATTGTCACAAACCACCCTAACTGTTTATCAACAGGAACTGGAAGGTTTTTTTTTTTTAAATAGTAAAATGATAATTCTTGATAGGTTGATTCAGGGGCAGGTGTATATAAAATGTCTAGGTTTTTAAAGAAAACCAACATCTACATTTCATACTATGAAACAGAAAGCAAGAGGGGTAGGGGAAAAAAACCTATTGAAACATCCCCTCTAAGTTACAGAATTCAATGAAGTAAATGGCTACTTAGTTGTGCAGACTAAGAATAGTTCATAACTGATGCTTTACTTACCCTCCCTCACTTTCACCATCATCTGTATTGGCAGTTCCTGAGCTGGCCGTGAAATAAATTGAGCTAGACCCTGTGGAATCACTCCTCTCTCTAGGAAACATGTACCGTCTCCGCCGAGATACCTTCTGGGCTTCTTCCAGGTGGGACCTGAAGTACAGCAAAATAGAGTGATAACAAGAGAAGTGTCTCTTGCAATCCATGTTTATTTCTTTGCTTCCAAACCCCAACCTATTACATGCACTCCACATGAAAGGAGCAATTCAAAAGGTTGCTTGTTCCTGCTTTATATGGGTCAAGTCACAAATCACCAAATTTAAAATACTGTGGGTAGGCTATAAATTAGGGATGTTAAATATTGGTTAATTGAATTCTTATCGGTTACTCAACTATTCTATAGTCCCCTGAGGTGGAGCCGGTAGCCAGTGCACTCTGGCCCACTCCCGAGGAGCTCTCTGCTACTCTGCACTGCTGAATCTGTATCAGATGCAGCAGCGTGGGGTGCCAGGCAGGAGCTGGTCTGAAAGGGGAGCCAGTTTAAAAAACAGCTCCCCTCGTGCACCGGCTGGTTGTCACCCCATGCTGCTGCCTCTGTATCAGAGGCAGCAGCATGGGCTGGCAGCAGCTCCTGTCCAGGGTGGGGTTTGAGGTCCCAGACCTGCGAGCCGGAACTGATCTGGGCTGCCTGCCCACCTGGTTCTGAATACAGTTTAAAACACAGAGCTGCAGCGGGGGTAGGTCCCTGACCTGGCGCTAGCCAGGACTGAGGTGGGCTGCTGGCCAGCCTGCTAAAAAAATTATTGGCAAAGGTGGGCGGGGGTGGGGAAATGCATGTAGTCTATAGTATAACCAATAAGCAAAAGCTTATCAGTTAAATCAACTACAGGCAGTCCCCGAGTTACGCGGATCCGACTTATGTCGGATCTGCAGTTACGAACGGGGCCTGTCTCCCTGGTCTCCAGCAGACCAGGGAGAGGAAGCAAAGCAGCGGAGCACGCGGGCAGCGGACAGCCCAGACGCGTCTGGGCTGTCCCACTGCCCCTGTGCTCCATGGCTTTGCTCCGGACACCTGTGGGACAGCA